AAACTGAAATGAGAGAAAGACTGAGTGTGAGACTTTGATATTAGAGAAAATGAATATTGATAAAGTTTACCTTTATGTACAGAATCTGAATATTGCAAAATATTTTAAAAAATTGCAATAATATCGTATCGTGGGATGTTTGGTGATTCCCACCTCTAGAACTTAGGGAGGTATTTAGACGGGGTGGTTTTTCTCATAGATGTCTGTGGGACTGGAAGGATTTTTACAACCACAAGCACCGCCCACCTAGTGGTCATTTTATTTTTTTTTTAAAAAGTAGGTTTAAGACAGTTCTGCATTGGTGTTACGTTTCAGAGCCAGGATCTTCGTCTATCTTTTATTGTGTCTGTGCTTTTGCCCCAAAGAGACAGCTGCAGGTATTAATCTGCCTGTCACACCCTGTGTCGCTGCTTAGGTTGGATCCGATCCTGTACAAGAAATGTCAGTCCGATGCATCCCGACTCTGCCACACTCACGGCTGGAACGAGACCAGCGAGTTGATGCCGCCTGGTGCCATTTTCTCATGCCTGTACCGCCACGCCTACCGCTCTCTGGAGCAGGGACGAAGGGTGAGTCTCTGCCGTTGATTTAATCTGATGATTAAATGTGAAGATTGCAGGACTTGGAGATCTCCAAGTGCTGTTTTAGATTTGTTAATAGAACAGTTTGTTTCAGGAGAGGTAAATGTAAAGCACAAAAACCTGGCTTATAGGGCGTTCATGCAGCCATAGGAGCTGTGTATTTACATTAGGAACGTAGACTAATTTTATAAAGAGGCTGTGCACTGTGACTCAGTGAAGTGTTGCCTTAATTGTGTGACTGCTTACAGTATTGCAATTAGTACAGTGTGCATTTTCATCAAATGACCACTGCAGTTTTTTGGACTAATTTGGACATTTTTATGCCAAATAAGCGATTTACAGGGGGAACGTTTTGTATACTCTCAGTGGCTTGAAAGGCCTCTTAATTCAAATTAGTTAAAAAAAGGTGCATTTTTCTACAGTTTAGGCTTTTTAAATAAAACGTCATTTAAATGTTCCTCGCTTTAAGTTTTCTGTGTCTGCACAGCTGTTTGTTTTTGTTGTCAAGGTTGTGACTTATCTGTAGGCTCAGCCTAAAAGTGTGAAAAATACTGGAAATGTTTGCAGTTTGAAGGAGGTGAAGACAGCTGTGACAAATTCAGATGAAGTGACTTTAATCTTTATTTAATATAAACGCACAAAGTTGCTTTAAGCCTGAACTGACAGCAACTTGCATGTGTTTTGTTTGTGTGGCAATCAGAGGCCACTGAGAGCTCAATTACATGTCAGTCATTGCTCTGTTTTCTCCACTGCGAACCCGCTCCTGTTTATTTTGCTGAAGACTAGTCTGAGGCAGACAAAGTAAAACTGTCGGGTTTGTGTGAAGGTAGAAGGTTAGCTTCATTTAACCTCAGAAGTCAGTTTCCAGGTTGGTTCCTCGAGTTGTTTTTGTGAAATGTGTTTGAATATTTCTGCTTAAACAAGATATCACAGCTACA